TTGTATGCCATTCGTGGCTCAATGCTTTTAAGTAATAGCCTTGACTTCTTTCAGACTGAGCATGTGCTTTGTGTGGCTTCCCAAAATAACTTCTGGCGATCCCTGCAGCTAAAAGAGCTGTTGATTTCTAGAAAGTGACACATTAAGTGTCTACAGAAAGATCAAGTATGAATTGATTAAAGAACATCTATCTGAATGTCTACTGTGAAGTGATCAATCACTGACAAGTTTCTGAAAGTGGTTTCAACTCTGCATGCATACAAAGGTAATAAGTAGCAAAAAATACCAAGCAAAAAAAGCGTTCTTCAAAGCTCTTAAAAGAACTAACCTGTATGACATCAGTTTATATTACTGTTATATATGACAAATACTTAAATAACAACACTGCTAAGAAAATGGATTGGTACACCCACCTCACTGTTATCACAGTGGTATTTGCTTGGCAAGGATACATGATTATTTTACAGTGATGGAAGTTTCATTAACAACAATTTCACTGTACTGCCAGCTAGCAAAGTGTTTAACAAACACACTGGGCAAAAGAGACTGCTCCTAAAAGAAAGTAGCAATTCACTTAGCAATTAGCCTGCTAATTTCTTGCTACTTCTTTAATAGAGCCCAAATAAGCATTAAGGCTGCTGCCCCACACTGGAAGTTGCCACCTTTTGAGTAATATTGTGACCTATGTTATCATGTTCCAGATTGTACTCAGGAAAACATGTGTTGTTGTTTTTGTTGTCGTTGTTTTAAAGTGAGCTTGCTTCTTTTCTTTCTTTTTTTTCCTCCAGAGTTCTTACACCCAGGGAAATCAGGGCATATAGCTGATCAGGAGCAAAACCTGACAAAGCCACGCAGTATTCCACCAGGCCATCATTTTCAACCAAAGATACCAGAGAGGACAGAACCTTTTTAAACTAAAGTAATTCTAAACTGTGGAGAAATAGCTTTATTTAAAAAATAAAAAATAAAAAAATAAAAAAATGCTGTGTGCCCATCTGCTTTCATTAAAATCAGAGAGGCTGTAGTTGCATGATTCGCTGACACTAAGGACAATTTCAAGTTAAGAGTTTCACACTTTTCCCAGTTCTTGGGTCATTTATGTCCAAGTTAATTCAGTGATATTACTCACAGTATGTCTCCAGAAAGTTCTGCTGGCATGCTCTCCTCAATCAGGGTCAAGTGTGACTTCCATTAATAGATTATAAAGAAGGTTTTTGAGAACTGCAAACCTGGCCCGAATGCTCACATTCCAGTGAGAACACCTTGACTGTACAACAGCTAAAAAGAAACACAAGAGCAAGGGACTGCTGAGCTAATCATGGGATAGAGAATGGGACCTTCCAGCAGCCAAGAGATCTGAGTGAGTGAGATAACACTGAAGAGAACAGAGGAAGTATTAAAGTGGAGAGTGAAACCTGGAGAGAGATGAAGGGCTGAGTAGTGTTACTGCCCTGCAACAATAAAGCTCACATATTCTCTCTATAAATATTTCTGTGCAGCCCAGCACTGCAGGAATTGAGCGCTTCTTTACTTAATCCAACATCTCCATGAGGAAGGCAAAATCACACTCATTTTGCACACAGAAAACTAAGACAATAATATTAACTCTTTTATCTGACATTATTCAGGAGGAGGTGAGAACAAACGGCTTGTGTCTTTGTTAGCTCGCGTTTTAAAAATAACACAGCAGGCAGAAGTGCCTTGATCTTTCACACACATGTGTCATGTTCAGGTCCTTCTCCTTATCTCTCACCTCGGATGGCAACCCTCAGAATTACCCACGACTGAGGAACTGGCATTGAGCCAACAGATTACCAGGTCACTCCACGGAGAGAGCCAGGCAAGGAGGAAGCCCGGGCAAATTGCTTTCTGGCAGAAAGAGCAAAATTTCAGCTTACCTTCTGCTGCAGGATGCCCAAGTGGCACTGAGTCTGGAGGGGTGAGATGGGACTGCGTTACTGAGGGAAGCCAGGGAGCACAGACTGCACTATGGCCCTCATGGGCACGCTGGGAAGCTGAAATTAATGCAAAGCACACTGCTGATAAAGGCAAACTGACATGAGTGAGATTACTCTGCCATGTAGCTGAGGAAAGCCAGACAGTGTGGTAAAGCCGCCTCCTCTGAGGAGCTGAGCACACTCAGCTACATTGCACAGCAGCTTGGGGCTGTGCTGAGGGAAAGATAACCAAATGCTAGTTTAGAAGAACTGAAACACTGTTCTTAATTCACCAGCTGAAGGGAAAGCAATAAACTGATAAAGTTATAAATACTACACCTTCTTTTGGTTAATGCTCAGAGATGTGGCAAAGCAGCGCTACCCGCTCTGAGGGAATTTAAAGGGGCAGCGTCCCACTGTCCAAGTAAAAGCAAGGAGGACAATACTCTGACATCTCAATACTTTGTTGACAATAAACAATTCATGGAATGACTGACATTTTACTTAGTCTAACTGATAATAGGGTTTCTTAAAAAACAACCACCACCACCACAAGCAGACAAACAACAAGAGAGACAGGAGCCATGGCTTCCTAGCTAAGCAGGGCTGGCGCTGAGGCCAGGAGCAGCGGCCCGGCCTTCAGGCCTGCTGCCACATGGGGACGGTTTGATCACAAAAGCAGGGAGCCAAACTGGGTCAGATTTCTTCTAAAATTAAAGAAATAAGCTATACAAAAATGGCTGAGTTTGTGACTCCCACGTGAAATATATTTACAATGCCAGAAAATTCTAATTGTCAAACAGGAACAGACCTTGAAAGAGGAACCTTTCATCTCCAAAAATGCTGCAGAAGTTTTCCTGAACTTCTATCGATTCTGTGGCATCAGTGCTGTTGTAATTGTTTTCCCTGCAACACTCTACCCTCTGCAAACACAGGAGGCAAGTTCTTCAGTCAGGTCTTTTTCCTCTAAATACTCATTTACGTGCTCCGTTTGCATTAGATAAACATAGGGCCTGAAAGCAGCTGAAAAAGCACAGTAACTTTTTTCAGCCATGACACACTGACTCTTCTTCTTGTTCTGATACAGCATTATTTATCTGCCTACAGATAACTTGATTACACCAAGACGATGTATTCCATTGGTTTAATCTATAGAGGGCACATAGATTTTATTTTATTGTTTTACTCCCAGTCTCCAAATATTACTGTCAAGAATCATAATACAGCAGAAATGGCAAACTGGGGTCCCAGCAGCCAGAGGGGTACCCACCAAATAAGAACTTTTCCATAGGTTGTGCAATGTCATGGGAATTTCCAATGCAGTCACTTCTCCATGACCTTTTTTTTTTTCCCCCCTATGCATCTTGGTCATGCAAAGCACCATTTTTCAAACCACCAATCAAGTCAGATCAAGAGATCAGAACGTCACAGAGCTTCTTACAAAAACATCATCCTGCTGGCACAAATTATGAGGTACAAGTCATCCTATGTCCTATTGCCCTCCCTCCCAGGGGCCCACCCACTACAGGCATACACAAACATTTAATTATCCCATTGCTACTAGCCCAAATGTAGAATTCAAAACTTGCAATCTGAAAATATTTTAACACAGAAGTTGTAACAACGCTGTTTTTTTTTAAATTAGCCTCCACCTTTTCTTCTCATGCATAAACGTTCTTTCAGAACATATATTTGGAAAGAAGTGAACAGGACAGATCATGGTCCTCCTCATCCCAGCTAGATTCCTCATTTCATCCTTTATGTGAATAGTAGCATCTCAGAGGACAGAAGATAAAAAAAGAAAGTGCTTTTCTACAAACTGAAAGTCCTATTTTTTTTTTCCATTTCCCCATTTTTTCTTCCATTCTCCATCCTATAGCCTGGAAAATTTCATATGGGCATCCAGTAGGTTCAAAAAAAGTTCATTTATGGTATATTCAAAGTTGTACCCAAATTAAATTACTAGTAAACAGATACACACAAGATGAACTGAACGAGTGAAAATACTGTCACCTTACATGAGTGAATCAGTCTTAAGGCTTGCAGACCAAAAACACATACTGCACCCAAAGAGGGGAGGGAGATGGACAAATGACTTCAAGAGAGCGAGGGTCGGTTATTGCTCATTTTCACTTCTTTAAGTAAGCTAGGTTAGGTGAGCTAAGCTGCAGAACAAAGCATTCAAGCATCTATCCAGGCTGATTCAATCATTAGCTGACATGCTGTACTTAAGCTCCTACCAAGTACCAGCTTCAGCTAATCATTTCAAAAGCAAATGTGAATGCTGTGCATACTGCAGCATTAATCTCTGTTATTGTACAGCCGAGTTATGTAACTAAAATACGGAACACATTGAGTTGATAGGAGCCATTTCAGCACATACTACTCATTACACAGCCCTTGAATGTAACAGAGGGCATGAATAATAGCTTCAACTATAAGTCACCTGGCAGCAAGATGGACACGGATGCTTAGTTCTTAAATATGCAGAAAGTAAGTCTGCAGCATCGTAGCATGCCTATAAATGTGGTGTTCCCTTTTTCTTTTCTGAATTTGTACTTCTGCTGGAAAAACATCATAAACATTACAGAAGACATATGACAGTTGAAATGCTAATTAAAGAGGATAATATAAAAGACTAGAAAGATTTAGAACTCCACAACATGTATCAACTCAGCAACAAATCAAGTTTTAAAACAACAATTATCGGGGTGGGGGGAAGAAGTGTATAAGCACTGCTAGTACTTCTGGAAACTGCTTCAAACTGTTTTTACAACCTCATTCATTTTCAACCAATAGCACTAACAAATGCATTCAATATAGTCCTTTTTAAAAACTGAAGCTGTCACAGTAATGGACTCAAAAAGAAACTCAAATAATAATCAGCAACTTCCACTCGAAAAAAAATCATAGCAAAATAAACTCCTGAGCATCTGAGCCTTACTATCTGATAGGCCATAAAATACTGTTTTATCCAAGGTGCATTAATGGGCTAACATGGACGCACAACATGGGCTAACATTCAGCAATCAAATCAACACTATAAGCTTTTATGTTGAACTGTTAAACTGTAGAAAGCTGTAGGTGAAGGGTTTGAGAAGGGTGACTTGGTTCCATTGGTTGTTTTGTTTTACTTCTGAACACATGCAGGTTAAATCCTGTCTTCTTACATATTAATAGTTCTTCATGAAAAAACATACTAAAGCTCCCTGAGAGCAACTGCAAGCTCTCGTGGCTTAAATTGCCCTTTCCTACATATAGAAGTGATGCCTTATCTCGTTTACTGATCAGCATCAGTCTCTTTTGGTGGAGACTGTTTTGTCAGCAAAGGACGGGATTTCCAAAGGCAGCACCCTTGGCAGTCACAGGTCCATCTTAGGCTGCAACCTCACCATGCACCAATATCCTTAAGTCTGCCAACATCAGTACACACGTAATTGTCACCAGTGATCTGTAATGACTAAAATATTTTAAGGCGTAAAAATTTTCTCAGCAGAGTATTTTGACTTGGTAGGGTCAAAAAGTGAATCTACAAGTGCAACAATACCAGTACATTTAGGGGAATGGTAAGCCTCCGAGCAAAAAGCCAGGTGAAAAAACAGTGTAGATGAAGGGGATGTTGCTCAATTGCAGTCAGCAGAGGACACTGCACTAACTTCATCCTAGCCCCAGACATCGTAAACATCTCAGGGGAAATAAATTCTTTTTTTTTTTTGAGGGTTTGACAGCCATCCTCCCATCCTCCATGGAGGGCTGGTGCACTGAGCACCTGCCTTTCTTGATAACAAGAATTCTGTCAAATGCACCCTGGTCCATAAAGTTGCTTTGCAGAAGCAAGAGCGATGACCAACAGGGACCTGAAATAGCCTGTTCTCTTATCATGTTAACAACATTTTGCTTTGAGATCTCCAATTTCATTACTTCTCCAGACCCAAAAAGAACCAAGACTTTGCAAATGCTACATATAAAATAACAATATACACACAGAGCCAGAGTAAAGCACAGAAATAAGTCATAAAAGAATTCTTCTTCATTCTTTCTCTTGCACCGACTTCCAGACAATCATCTTGGTCGCTGTTTTTAAATTTCATGCTGCTATTTTGCTTTCAGGGATTTAACTTGCTTAGAACTCTCCCACAGACGTAAGTGGAAGGAGGACCGTATCCTGAAAATTCACCAGAACAATGAAACGAGATTTTTAGTGAAATATCCACAGAAAGGCAGAATGTTTTTCATTGGTCCTTTACAAAGCGCACTCCCTACTACTTCTAACTATACTTAACGTTCTTAAAAAGTAGTGATCCACAGCCATCCTTAATGGCACAGTGGCAACATCAAAGAAAGCTACAGCGGGGCAATCTGAGATATCTGAGACAGTTCACCAAGAAAAACAAACAAACAAACTACAGCAGATAAAACAGTATCTAGTTTATTACATATAGAAAGAGATTTCCAGAATTTACAAACACCCACATTTTCATTCCAAGGAAAGAGTTAATTTGAAAAGTTCACCCTTTGTTTTCATTTTGTTTTGTGGTTTTCTGTTTTTTTTTTTTTGTTTTTTTTGTTTTTTTTTTTAATTTCTATTCTTTACAATATATACAATGGAAGACTTTGATTTCTATTTTTCTGATTTTTTGTCAGTTTTTGTGCAATTGACGAATTCAAGTTGACACTTGTAAATACCATGTACAGTAAAGTTTGTCTTCATTGTAGTTAATACAGATTATTATTTTACAAGGAGTACAAAATTACTTTTCTTCTGGAAAGAAATCAGTTCAGCATCAGGGTTATCTTACAACTGATAGTATCAGCAAATATGACTGTACAATCAAGGCCCAGGGACCAATGACTCGTATTATATTATTTTCTGAATTACAATCTTAAAACAAGAATAGTACCCTACTCTATTCTTAGAAGCCTTGTTTTAATTAGGTTTCCCACTCTGTTTACAACAGAATATAGTATACCTCAGTTCCACATCAAAAAAGATGTGCTGTAGGAAAAGTTACATTTTAATTAAAAAAGTACATGTATAAATCAAAACCTATGTTAAATATTTAATACTCTTCAACCAACATTAAGTTTTGTATGTAATAATTTACAAGGATGATTTGTCATACAGGTTTTCAGCAGCAAATGAAGTTGTGTAAATGTGCTAGTAAAATACCCATTCTCACCATGACACAGTGGTGGGCACATCAGTTCATTGTGGCCAGCTAAGTCCTTACGGTAGAGGATTAAGAGAGACTCATAGTCCAGGTGTCACAGTGCTTCTGCTTGGCACAACACAGGATGTGCAGCTCAGTCAACTAACTCCTGAGGTTTGTGTAAAGTAAACAAACTGAACTGGATGCATCGTACCCATTTACAGAGGAAGAGGAGGAGGAGGAGGTGAGGTCCTAGTTGTGGTAACATGAAACATTTAGAGTCTTGATACCCATGAGTTAAAAGAAGGATTTGCTGAGGTTGTATAGGTCATCATTCTGAAAAAGAAAGAGAAAGAAAATTAGCATCATGGGCACTGTAAAGTTTTCCTATAATTATCACATCTCTCCCAACATCTTTCACTTTTTTTTTCCTATTTAAAGTGTTATCATTCAAACTGAAAATGTTAGCACCTTGAAAAATTATGGCATACACATTTGAACTGTACTCAAGCATAATTTAAAGAGCATTTAAAACAGATGTCAGCAATGAAATTACAAGCAGTCGGAAATACATTTAGATTTGCAAGAGATTCACCTAAGCAGAAACAATTTAATTGTCTATACCGGTTGCCCCAGAAAAACTCCTATGACAAAACAAAAAAAAGGTCAAACAACTATCCTGCTGCTGGCATTTTTGCCCAACACGTGGAAGACTCGGGCCTCCTTGCAGGGCTTCCTGCAAATGCCAGGTTTTGCTTGAGAAGGACGAATGAGCATCGGGGGGGGGCAGCACCACCATTCACCACTGACACACAAATTAGAAAATAACTGTACCCAGAAAATCCTATTAAAGTCCATAAATGTATTTACATTTTATTTCTTTCTCTGACAGAGGACTATGGAAATAACAAGGTACTGCAATCCTAATAAGGATTACTTATGATGTTCCACAGCACAGGTTTACTAATGAGCAAATGCCAAAAGTTGCTTTTGATCCACATCTTTAGAACTGTGTGCAGTTGCAGAAGAGCTGAGGGCAGCCCTCATGGCGGCTGCAGCTTCCCACAGGGAGTGGAGGGGCAGCGCTGAGCTCTGCTCTGTGTGACAGCGACTGGGCCCGAGGGAACGGCGTGGAGGGCAGAGGGCACAGAACAGATCCCATGGCAGTGGGCACAGCCTTGAGCTGCCAGAGTTCAAGAAGCATTTGGGCACTGCTCTCAGAGAGGGGGTATGGGTGGTCCTTGTGGAGCAGGGGGCTGGACTTGAGGATCCTTGTGGGTCCCTTTCAACTTGGGGTATTCTATGATTGTGCCACTGGATGATTCTCATCATCTCAGCTCTAGCTGTCCTAATCTAGCACATAATGCAGATGCCTAAAGTCCTCTCCCATCTCTGCATTCCGGGTACATCTACATGAGCAACAGAGGATGGAGTGAGACTCGGTGTCCTACTGGGAATCCCCTGGCAGGCTCTTCAGCCCTTGGCAGGACATGGTCTCCTTGCTGGAAGAACCAGGGTCAGAATCACACATCAGGGCACCAGCAAGAGCTCCAGCTGCCTCTAGGCCTGGCCGGCTGCAGGCCCACACAGAGCCCACCAGCAGGCAGCCACATAGAATCATAGGATTGCTCAGGTTGGAAAAGACCTTAAAGATCATTAAGTCCAACTGCATCCCAGCCTCCAAGCAGTAGCATACACAGCCCCGGAGCTTCCCTCTTTGCACCACAGCGGGATGTAGCCATACCCACTGAAGTCTGAACAACACACCCACAAATGAATATCGGTTTTGTTTTCACTGGGGCTAGAGGACTACCATCATTTACATTTTGGGAGTTGCACATAAAAACTGATGAAGCAAGGCTTAGACTTTACATAAATATGTGTTTATTTCTATATTAAATATTAACTAAGCTCCTGAAAATATAGGTAAATAGTGTATTTTCCTCAGTACAAATAAAGACTTCCCAAACACATGTTGACGTAAAAAACTGAAAAGACCTCCTGTCCTATATTCTTTAATTGCCCAAGAAACAAATTTATTTTCTGAGGTCCTTCAAGTGAAAGGAAAGCCTATCCTTGCAAGTGATGTGTGGTATGCTGTGAAAACTCCCCAGAGAATTATCTCACAGATCTCTTATTTACTTTCAACTTTCTTTTGCACTTGTATTGCAACCTGCTGGAATGTTCTGAGCCAAATATCTATATACAGCTTTGCAGAGCTTTGCAGCTTTCAACTATGCTTGACCTAAAATTAGCCAGTAATGCCATACTGTATTAATAAAGACTAATGACAAAGAAGAAATGGCTTAAACTAAATTGAAGTATAATGTGTGCAAAGTGCCCATTTCCCATCCTGGGTGCAGCAGGGCTGCAGGAGGAGTTTAGTGACCACTGGCAAGGCCACCAGTCTCAGCTTCTCTGCATGGGCAAGGCAAGATGAAGGAGACAGGTGTCCTACATCATTGGAACTTATTGTGTTAAGAGATTTAAATATTTGAACAATAATTTGCAACATCAAGACAGAAAGTGACATTTCTACACTAGCATTCAGGTAATCTCAACTGAAATATATAATCTAGAAAACAAAACCTGTGACTGCCAAGGGTGCTGCTTTTGTCTAATGCAATTCATCACCCATTCAGCCAACACAATCGGGAACACATTGCAACTGCTATTTTAAGAAGTCACGAGAGTAAATGAGGAAAGAGTTAACAAGTCTCTATGAAAAAGAAAACACTTCCCAGAGGAATTCACTAAGCAAATAGTACTGAAGAAAATCACAGTTACAGCATCTTTGAATCTTAGAAGTCCTGAGCATGTGTAAATGAGTAAAAAAAAAACACAAAAAAACACAGCAGGTTTAAATATCTGAGAGCTTGAGACTCCAGAGGAAGACAGAGTCATGCAGGGTGTGAACAGAACCGGGCTGTGCTTCGTATAAACTTCAGTTGCCAGTACAAGAGGAGGCAGGACATGGGCCCTGTCTTCCTGCTTGTTATTGCACCTCCAGTATGTCCAGAAGTACAATATGGAAAACTACTTGTCAAGCAGGAAAAATATTACCAGACCACAATTCAGCCATCATCAGTCATTTTAGAGACTACGGATATTCCAGTTCACAAACTCAGTCACCTTGTAGCTGGCACCATTAAGAAGTACTTTTTAGAAGTTATTTTTAAGAATTCCTACTGCTCACCAAGATACAGAAGTTCATTAGAAACTATTTATTATTTTGGCCTAACAAAAGAAAACAACACCAAGTTTCAAACTTCAGTTTAATGTAACAACCCCTAACTCAAGTTATTGGGGTGGTAATGCACATGCGTAAAACCTGCTATACATTTTCTACGATTTCAAAAAAAAACCCAAAAGCCAAAAAAACAAAACCAAAGAACACAGGGAAGGAGAAGTTTTCTTCTAATTTCACAAGCAGAAAAAAATTAAGACTACGCTATCCACCCTGTGAGATTACTGACCGCAATGATTGTTTTCATCTCCCCAACTCCTCTTAAAAATCTCTTTCTGCAATAGAAGAACTGGGTAACAGAGAACAACCACCCCCGCTGCTATGAGATGACAGAGGCGCCTGTTCTGCCTTTCTGCACAAGAGTGCCCAGAAAGCAGCCCTTCTGAGAGAAAGCTGCTGCTCCAGGGCAACTGCCGACAGTCAACCTGGAAGGCTTTGATCCAGGGAATTCTTGATTGCGCATAACTTCTAGCAAAAAGCACCATCCTCAATTTTAGTGTACACATGTTCTTTGTTAGACTCAAAAGAATACTTTATTTTTTTGGCATAATTTTCTCTCTCTTCAGAGAATTATTACAATATGTTTCAAGGCGGAAGCACCTTATAAGGTACTGAAGTCATCAGCTAGATACCTCATTGTTTCTTATCAACAACCATAAGCATTTCCTTAACAACATATAAAAACAGTGTGGAAGGCAAGTGTTTTAATAGAGAGCACTAGGACTACAGTGAGCTGAGGTAAGGATCATTAAAACCACTGACATCACTGTTGGCAAGCATGGAAAAGGGAAAACCTGTGTTTAATCTATTTCCTATTGACCACAAGCTTTAGCTGGAGTTCCCAATAATGCAGTTCGTGGTTGACTTTATGGAAAAAATTAGTGATGCAAGAAAACCGTACTGAAACAAACAAGGATCTTTAAAAGTTACTACAATGTACCTTTGACAAGCAGCCTCTGCTCAACATCTGTTACAACACACATGCAGATAACACAAATGCGTGTTCCAGCTGGCAACGCTTTCAACTCCAATCTATTAGTCCAGGCTGGATACAACACAACCAACTGGAGTTCCTATTACAGCTCAAGTCCCATTCTTAAATCCAGTAACTAAAAATAAGCCGATAGCACTCTTTATTTCCATTATGGGGGAACTGGAGAAAAGGCATATTTAAAGTTCTAACTCTCAGTGAGCAGAAGGTCTAGACAATTTCACAATGTATCTTTCCTGAAGTTAACTGAATTTTTCTAAGTAAAGTAGATGTATTGTTAAAATACACTCTGAGTGCTACCACTTACTCCCTCCTTATAAACTACTCCTACAAAAGCTAACCAAAGAGCAAATATAGCAACAAAAGCAAAAACTCAAGTCATCTTCAAACAAAAGACTTTTCTGCCACCAATCTCATCTTCTATGTTCTATTAAAAACTAACAACACATCCTATACCTAAAACATCAACAGAAATGTTCTTCCAAAGTGTCCTTCCACTTAAAAAGAAGGTAATGTACAGTTCCTGTTGAAGCCCCGTGATCAATTTGTCAAATAACTACTTCATCTGATGAACATACTGAGGTAAAACAGTGCTCCCAAATGCTGGAGCTGCTCGGCATATTGTGCATTTTCTGGATGTGCACAGGACGTGACTGCTGCAGTTCTTCCATCAGACTCATTCAACCAAACGTACTCTTCAAAACTGTTCCTAGCCCACCACCATCTTATTTGAAATTATAGAAAGGAATAAATGCATTTTTGTTTACTTTAGGATCACGTAGTACATCTTACTCTGTACAGATTAAGAAGTGACTTAGTGCATAATGAACACAACTACCAAGCAGAGCAACAAGGTCAGGAACAAAGGGTCACAATGAAAGAGACAGCCATTAAGAAAATACAGCAAAAGACTCGTGCAGAACTTCACAAGACCCAGTCTGCACTTAGCCTGGGCACCCACTGTCTGCCCAGGTAACTATGAGTCTTTAGAAATCTGACACAGGTTAAATATATTAAGCAGTGCTGAAATACTCATTTATAGCTCTTGTCTGGGTGACATTTGCAGGAATCATCATCTAGCTATAATGAATTGATGCA